CGAGTAGTCCCATCTTGACCGTCTGGCTCTCTTGCCCTCTGGATACTTGTTTGAGTAACTCCAATCTTTGGCTCCTCTGCTGCTGTGACAGATGTGTCTTCATGCTGCTCTGGACTGGTCGGTATATCTGCCTGTATAATGTGCTCTTCAGGCTCCTTATGAACTTTCTTAACAGATGTTTCACCCGGGCTCTCTGGGGAGTCTTGCATGTCATGTGTACTGACAGTTTGCTCTCCTTGTAAATCATAATCCTTGGCCCATTTGGGTCCTTCCTCTGTGGGCTTCAAAAGCTCCAACTGAATCACAGCTTGGGTCGGCTTTATTGCTTCCTGCTCAGATATTTCTGAAAATGATGTTTCTGCTTCATGCAATGGCACAAGTGCTGCAACAACAGCAGCATTAGAAAGTTGAATGGAGTCACTTTTAGCCACACTGCCTTGCAATTCAACTGCAACCCCCACTGGCTGAACATCAGTGGTAGTCGTATCCTTGCTCTCTGGTGCCATCTCACACAGGATACTTGATTGGTCCATACCCAGCTCCAGCTCATCTTCTATTGAGGCTGTTATGACTTCACGTTTTTGTATAACACTCTTTGTACTGATTTGTAAAACATTCTGTTCCGCCCCTTGTTTGCTGTCATCCATTTCAACAAACTTCTTATCCAGGCTCTCTGGGGAATCTTGTGTTGACACTTGAACACATTCCTTCTGGACACTGTGTTCCCTGTCATCTTTGAGTCTTTCCTCTGTGGTTTCCATGAGCTCCAGCTGATTTAAAGATTTGCTTAGTTTAAATATTTCTGGCTCAGATGAGATTATTTCTGTCAATTCTGTCTCTGCCCTCTCTGGCCGTACCATTGCAGAAACAGCAGAAGCAGGTTGAGTGGAGTCACTTTCAGCCACAGTTCCTGCCTCTGTCTGAACTGGCTTCATCTCACATGACTTGGTGACTCCTTTGTCAGGCAGATCAAGAACCAGATATCTCTTCTGAGTCTCTGGTGTACCCTTGCATAAGTTGTCAATGAGATCTATTCCATCTGTAGGCTCGGAAGCTAGAGGTGGTTGCATTTGAGACCCTGTACCTAATTCTGTTTTGGTAGACTGGGTAATAGTTTGTTCAGGGGCCTTTTTGGATCTGTCTTTAAGCTCTTGTAACTCTGAGACTGTAGGTTCAGATGGGGTGGAAATGGGTGGAATGACAGACTCCAGAGGTTCAGTGTGAGGGGATGAAGTACTAGTGTCCACCTGATGAGGCTGAGTATCAGATATCTGTACAAAAGCCCCAAATGTTTCAAGAATGATTGTGGCCACTTTTCTTCCTGGAAATGTCGGAATGACATCAGTACGTCCAATCTGAACAATACTCTTCTCACACACTGTACTGATCTCCTCTGCTGTAGTCTGACTCTCCTCTGCAGTCCCTTGTTGAGAGACAGTTGATTTAACAACATCTATGAATGGAATTTTCTGAACTTCAGCCTCTTCCTTTATCTTCAGTTCTGTGCTAGCAGGTTTATGCCCCTTTGACTTTCGTTTGTGTTCTGAATGCTTTTCTTTTCCCACAGCAGCAATTTCAGCTGGTTCTGTGAGCACGTCTGGAGTTGAAGGTGGTTTCTGACCAACAGGCTCTTCCTTGGTCTTTACTAGCTCTGTGGTAGCAGGTTCAGGGAAAGGTTTAAGATCCTTTGACTTTCGTATGGGTGTTGAAAGCGCTCCCTTTTCTGCAACAGTAATTTCAGATGGTGCTGTGACCACCTCGGGAGTTGAAGGTGGTTTCTGACCAACAGGCTCTTCCTTGGTCTTTACTAGCTCTGTGGTAGCAGGTTCAGGGAAAGGTTTAAGATCCTTTGACTTTCGTATGGGTGTTGAAAGCGCTCCCTTTTCTGCAACAGTAATTTCAGATGGTGCTGTGACCACCTCGGGAGTTGAAGGTGGTTTCTGACCAACAGGCTCTTCCTTGGTCTTTACTAGCTCTGTGGTAGCAGGTTCAGGGAAAGGTTTAAGATCCTTTGACTTTCGTATGGGTGTTGAAAGCGCTCCCTTTTCTGCAACAGTAATTTCAGATGGTGCTGTGACCACCTCGGGAGTTGAAGGTGGTTTCTGACCAACAGGCTCTTCCTTGGTCTTTACTAGCTCTGTGGTAGCAGGTTCAGGGAAAGGTTTAAGATCCTTTGACTTTCGTATGGGTGTTGAAAGCGCTCCCTTTTCTGCAACAGTAATTTCAGATGGTGCTGTGACCACCTCGGGAGTTGAAGGTGGTTTCTGACCAACAGGCTCTTCCTTGGTCTTTACTAGCTCTGTGGTAGCAGGTTCAGGGAAAGGTTTAAGATCCTTTGACTTTCGTATGGGTGTTGAAAGCGCTCCCTTTTCTGCAACAGTAATTTCAGATGGTGCTGTGACCACCTCGGGAGTTGAAGGTGGTTTCTGACCAACAGGCTCTTCCTTGGTCTTTACTAGCTCTGTGGTAGCAGGTTCAGGGAAAGGTTTAAGATCCTTTGACTTTCGTATGGGTGTTGAAAGCGCTCCCTTTTCTGCAACAGTAATTTCAGATGGTGCTGTGACCACCTCGGGAGTTGAAGGTGGTTTCTGACCAACAGGCTCTTCCTTGGTCTTTACTAGCTCTGTGGTAGCAGGTTCAGGGAAAGGTTTAAGATCCTTTGACTTTCGTATGGGTGTTGAAAGCGCTCCCTTTTCTGCAACAGTAATTTCAGATGGTGCTGTGACCACCTCGGGAGTTGAAGGTGGTTTCTGACCAACAGGCTCTTCCTTGGTCTTTACTAGCTCTGTGGTAGCAGGTTCAGGGAAAGGTTTAAGATCCTTTGACTTTCGTATGGGTGTTGAAAGCGCTCCCTTTTCTGCAACAGTAATTTCAGATGGTGCTGTGACCACCTCGGGAGTTGAAGGTGGTTTCTGACCAACAGGCTCTTCCTTGGTCTTTACTAGCTCTGTGGTAGCAGGTTCAGGGAAAGGTTTAAGATCCTTTGACTTTCGTATGGGTGTTGAAAGCGCTCCCTTTTCTGCAACAGTAATTTCAGATGGTGCTGTGACCACCTCGGGAGTTGAAGGTGGTTTCTGACCAACAGGCTCTTCCTTGGTCTTTACTAGCTCTGTGGTAGCAGGTTCAGGGAAAGGTTTAAGATCCTTTGACTTTCGTATGGGTGTTGAAAGCGCTCCCTTTTCTGCAACAGTAATTTCAGATGGTGCTGTGACCACCTCGGGAGTTGAAGGTGGTTTCTGACCAACAGGCTCTTCCTTGGTCTTTACTAGCTCTGTGGTAGCAGGTTCAGGGAAAGGTTTAAGATCCTTTGACTTTCGTATGGGTGTTGAAAGCGCTCCCTTTTCTGCAACAGTAATTTCAGATGGTGCTGTGACCACCTCAGGAGTTGAAGGTGGTTTCTGTCCATCGGGCTGTTCTTCTCTCTTTACCAACTCTGTGGTAGCAGGTTTTCGGGAAGGTTTATGCCCCTTTGACTTTCGTTTGTGTTCTGAAAACTTTTCTTTTCCCACAGCAGCAATTTCAGCTGGTTCTGTGACCACATCTGGAGTTGAAGATGGTTTCTGTCCATCAGGCTCTTCTTCTGTCTTTACCAGCTCTGTGGTAGCAGGTTCTGCACAAGGTTTATGACCCTCTGACTTGATTTTGGTTGGTGAAAGCTTTCCTTCTTCTAAAATAGTCATTTCAGTGAGCACCTTTGAGGCTGAAGATGGCTTTTGACTGTCAGGCTCTTCCTTGGTCTTCATCAATTCCATGGAATCAGGTGCTGGGGAAGGTTCAAGGCCCTCTGACATTAATTTGGTTGGTGAAAGCTTTCCTTCTGGCGTTGAGACCACCACTAGAGTTGAAAATGGTTTTTGACCATCAGTCTCTTTGGTCTTTATCAGCTCTGTGGAAGTAGGTTCTGGGAAAGGTTTATGACCCTTTAACTTTCGTCTGGGTACTGAAGGCTTGTCTTTTTCCACAACCGTAATTTCAGTTGGTGCTGTGATGTGCTGATCGTGAAGCTCTTCATTGGCTTTTATCAATTTCGTCGAAGCAGGTTCTGGGGAAGGTTTAAGGCCGTCTGACCTGATTTTGGTTAGAGAAAGCTTTCCTTCTTCTAAAACAGTAATTTGAGTGACCACCTCTGGGGCTAAAGATGGCTTTTGACTGTCAGGCTCTTCCCTTGTCTTTGTCAACCCCTTGCTAGGAGATTCTGAGGAAGGTTTTTGACCCTTTGACTTTCTTTTGGTTGGAGAAAGCTTCCCTTCTTCTACAACAGTAATTACAGTTGGTACTGTGATGGCATCTGGAGTTGAAGTCTCGTGACCCTCAAGTTCTTTTTTATTTTGTTCAGGCTCCACATCAGGTGATCTAACATGAGTAACAATTGCCTCAGAAGCTTTGTCAAGATCACAACTCTTTGACCTTCTTCTGATTAGTGCAAGTTTTGTTTCTTCACTAACAATTCTTTTATATTGGTCAGCAGTTTCATGTTGCCTTTTAATACACTCTGCAGTTTTGGTGTGCTTTTCAGGTTCTTGTTTTAGTTCCTTAATGTCCACACCAGTATGTCTTTCAAGAGGAGAAACTGGCTCTGCAACTGTGGAAACCTCAGTACTTTCTGATTTCTTCCTGCTTGGTATAAATTTAGTTTCTTCCACAAGAGCAGCGTCAGTCATTTGACTGGCAGGCTCTTCCATGGCCGGTGTTTCTTCCTCATGAGAAAGTTGTGGAGAAACTTTTGGACTCTCTGACTTTCTTGTGGTTGAGAGGAGTTTATCTTCTTTAGCCATAATAGTTTCAGATGCCCCCAAAACTGTATGTGTAGTTGAAGTAGCCTTTGGACTTTCAAGTTCCTTCCCAGCTTCCTTAGACTCCACCTTAATAGTCTCATCAATGATCGACAATGACTCTAGAGCTGTAAAAAAATCCAAACTTTTTGACTTCCTCCAGGTTGGTATGAGCTTACCTTCTTCCATAGTAGTATGGTCAGTTGAAGCCTTTGGACTTTTAGATTTTTTCCCAGCTTCCTTAGAATCAACATTAATAGTCTCATCAATAACAGAGACCGACTCTAGAGCTGTGGAAACATCAAAACTTTTTGACTTCCTCCAGGTTGGTGCGAGCTTTGTTTCTCTCAAAGCAGTAGCTTTAGTTTCATACTTTTCTGGTTCTTGTATTGTTTCCTTAGGCTCAACAGCAATAACTCTGTCAAGGGGAGACAATGGCTCTGCAACTGTGGAAAAATCCTGAGTCTCTGATATTCTCCTGGTTGATATAAGTTTAGTTTCTTCCACAGTAGAAGTGTCAGTTATGTGACTGCCAGGCCTTTCCATGGCCAAAGTTTCCTCCTCATGGGAAAGTTGTGGAGAAACCTTTGGACTTCCTGACTTTCTTGTGGTTGGATGGAGGTTACCTTCTTCCATGATAATAGTTTCAGTTGCTCCCACAGTTGCCTGTGCAGTTGAAGTAACCTTCCCACTTTCAGGTTCTTTCCCAGCTTCCTTAGACTCCACCTTAATAGTCTCATCAATGATAGACACCGACTCTAGACTTGTGGAAACATCAAAACTTGTCGATTTCCTCGAGGTTGGTATGAGCTTACCTTCTTCCACAGTAGTAGGTTCAGTTGAAGCCTTCACACTTTTAGGTTCTTTCCCAGCTTCCTTAGAGTCTGCACTAATAGTCTCATCAATGACAGAGACCGACTCTAGAGCTGTGGAAACATCAAAACTTTTTGACTTCCTCCAGGTTGGTGCGAGCTTTGTTTCTCTCAAAGCAGTAGCTTTAGTTTCATACTTTTCTGGTTCTTGTATTGTTTCTTTAGGCTCCACAGCAATAACTCTTTCAAGGGGAGACAATGGCTCTGCAACTGTGGAAAAATCCTGAGTCTCTGATTTTCTCCTTGTTGATATAAGTTTAGTTTCTTCCACAGTAGAAGTGTCAGTTATGTGACTGCCAGGCTTTACCATGGCCAGGTTTTCCTCCTCGTGGGAAAGTTGTGGAGAAACTGTTGGACTCTCTGACTTTCTTGTGATTGGTGGAAGCTTACCTTCTTCCATAATAACAGTTTCAGTTGCTCCCATAGCTGCCTGTACAGTTGAAGTAACCTTCCCTCTTTCATCTTCTTTCTTAGCTTCCTTGGACTCCACATTAATAGACTGTTCTTGTTTTGTTTCTGTAGACTTCACATCAGTAATTCTGTCAAGGGGAGACACTGGCCCTGTAACACTGGAAACATCAAAACTCTTTGACTTCTTTCTGATTGGTACACGCTTCCTTTGCTCCACAACAGCTGCGTCAGTTTGGTCCCTGGACAATATCTGACTGTCAGGTTTTCCCATGGTCTGTGTGTCTTTCTTGTTTGAAAGTTGTGGAGAAATGTTTTGACTCTTTGATTTTTTTTTAGTTGGCAAAAGCTTACTCTCTTTCATAACTGCAGTATCAGTTGGTTCTGATGGAATATCAGTTGGTTCTGTTGCAGTGTCAATTGGTTCGTTCTGAATTTCCTCACACTCTGCATAGCGTTCAGTAGTTGTACCCTGGTTAGGGGCTGGTTCTGAGGTTGTGGACACTTTAGAACCCTTTGACTCATGCCTTTTTGGTATAGATTTAGGCTGCTCAGCATCTGTTTCTGTGATGGGCTCTGAAGTCACGAGAGACAACAGATGTTCGGAGCTGTCACTGATATGAACGGGTTTTGCATCACTAATGTTTAAGGACACTTCTGGAGTCTTTGTCTCTTTAGTAGGTCCAAGCTTGACTGTGGTCTTAGGTTGCTCTGAGACTGACTGAGTGACAGAGGTTTTCAGGGTCTCATGCACTAAGGTGGTGACCTCACCTGCAGCAGCGGCTGTTACAGGAACAATTGTGAATGGCTCCGATACATCTAAAATACCAGTTGTGACTTGCTTTGATTCTCTCACAGAAGCAGATTCTGTCTGGTTTCTGGGTGACCTTTGAGTAGCAGTGGTTTCCACCACTTCAGGTTCCACCTGGGCATGCTCTTTATCAGCGTCTGAAGCCTTGGATTTTCTTCTGGATGGTACAGGTGCGGTATCGTCTCTAATAACAGGGGTGGACTTTTTATTGGCTTTCTGAATCAGTATAGTTTCCTCAACAGTAGGTTTGATGTGCTCAGCTGTGACAAGCTCTGTTGTTGTATCTAGCTTTATACATTTAAATTGTGCCTCTTGGGAAGTAATATGTTCTGAATCACATGTTGGACTCTGAGATTTCCTCTTTATTGTTTCAGTTCTGGTTTGCTTCACACAACTACTTTTTGCGTCCTGCACAGCTGACGTCATAGTAAGCTTTAATGTTTCAGCTTCAGTTTGCATGGCCTCAGCTGGAACTGTCAATTTATCCTCAACAGATACAGATTTTTCTGTTGAGGGAATATTTTGCTGTAGTTTAAGTTGATGCTCTTTCTCAGGTGGATGTTTGCTTTTTCGCGGTGGTGCCACCAAAGACGCCTTTGTCTCCTCTAGACTACCACAAAGTACATCAGATGACTGAATGTCAGCTTGTTTGTCTTTACTCCTTTTCTCAAGTTCCTTGAATGAAAGAATAAAAATAGTGTTAATTATAACAAAGGTACTATTGTAATTTCTTAGCTTTTAAGATAAATATATTGTTTAACCAAAACTGATGTTTATGATCCTGTTAGTCCAAACATATTTAAAATAATCTGAATACCTTTAAGCTCTGGCTTAGAGAAGCTTTACGTGTGTCTGCTTCGCTGAGAGTCTCTGAACCCTCCTTGTCCAGTTTCTCAAACAAGTCCGGTGTCAGACAGCGCTTTAGAAAGTGCTGGTGAGAAAGTGCCTCACGCAGGCTGACCTGCAACTTTTCACCATCCTCTAATGTCACCTAACACCGGGAGGAAAAAGTGTTCCAGCATTAAGTAGCAACGACAATCTGTGTGTGATGAAATGTCATCAGGAAATGGATGACTCACTGGCAATGATAGCTACTCCATAAAACTGAAATGTTACACTTCATGAATCATGTGACCACCCTAAATGAGGCCTGATTACAACACATGTGTATCAGACATGTGTTGAACTGGGTTTGAATATTACATGTAGCCAACTTCTCATTCTGCCACGGTATCTAAAAACTGAGTTGTAGTGTCAGTTTTAAAGTGTTTGGTTTTCATAATACACACTTTTAATAATAAAAACTTTAGGACTGCTGATATTCTGACTTTCCTCATGGTCTCAGATTTACTCCATACATATGCAGCATCAAGAATTTGGCAGCAGATGCCACTTTTTTGGATTTTGTGCTTCACTCTCGTTTTATTCATCACTACTAGGCAGCTCTAAATATTTTTAACTGCACAAATGTGAAAAGTGTTACTGAAACAAGGTATGCACATTTGTCAGAAAAGCAGTAAAAACATTAAAAGAAAAAAGACCTGTACAGAAGAAATGGACTCTGATGGTTCTGTCTTGTTCCACTGCTGCAGCGCGTGAAGGCAATCCATCAGACAGCGGGCTGTGTTTGTAGAGCAGTTACCCTGATGCTCATTCAGCCTGGACTTCAGACTGGAGACATAGTTAAATTACATTTAGTGTAAACGACATTTTGAATGGTATCTGCATGTATTATACTGGATGAGATACAAATGAAAACAGGTGTACTGTTTTCAGCATAAAACTACTTTTCTGGAACAGTAAACAGTAGTAAAATGTTTGTGTAGTCTTAATTCAAAAACCAGGTTTTAGATAACATGTAATCTTTGGATGATATGTAGCGAACCTGATTTACTGTAATTGATCAAGAGCATACAGACCCACTGGGGCATGTAACTGACATGTAGGAATAATTAGAAACAAAACTGAAAGAGAGGAATGCCAACTTAAGATTTGTCATGAGGAATCTGTCAGAGAAGTCTATCCAGCATTTAAAAAGCCACAGTGGTAAGGGGCACAGATTGTGCTGTTTGCTGTTCAGTATGATACCTGTCATGCTGTTGACATAAAGATTCAACCACACTGATAATTTCTGCTGGTAGCTCGTTGGTGGCAGGTGTTGACTTTACTTCCTGGTGCAGATCATGAACTTTCACACACAAATCCTCCAGAGACCTCTCACAATTCTAACAGACAGGGAAACAACATCACATACTGTGAGTAATATTCACATCCACAGGTTCTACCCTGCAGAAGCTTTACATATCTGATGTGACATGCCTCCTTGATTTTTATATAAATTCAATTTTAAAAAAGCAGTAATTACAAGAGATTATGTGTTTGACAAAATACAACAGCAACCTGAAGGCTGTGCCAGTGCTGCTGAAGCTGAGCAATATTGTTTTGTGGTTCGCTGTAACTGAGCGCTTGGTCCAGGGAACGGAGCTCCCACTGCAGAGCTGCAGCTCCCTCCTTCAGCCTCTGGGTCCTCCTGGCTAGCTGACTGTCCAGCTCCTCTAGCTGCGCCTCACAGCTCATCAGGTGCTGCCTCACCTCCTGCTCCGAGGTGGAACAGAGATCGTGGAGATGGCTGACTGCCAGGGCTAAAGCGTCCTGACCTGCAGGGGTGCAGAGGTTCATCAAATTGTCTCTGGCAGAGTCCAGCTCCTTCATCTCTCTCTGCTCCCTGTCCACTGTCTGGAGCAAAGCCTGGAATCGGGAGGAAGGAGGAAAACTGGATCATCAGAACGCAAGGTTTTTCATGTCATTCAAAACAACTGTTGGCTATAAGGTCAAAGGTTAAAGTAGAAGTGAAAACATAAAATCAAAGATTTGAAGACAGAGGTTGGCTCCAGAAATGAGAGCACTGTTGAAAATCTAGAAAATGAATTAAATGCCAACCAGTGACAGAATTAAGCATTAGACAAATTCAAAAACAATGTTCAGAGCTTTATGTTACATTAACAATCTGCCTAATTTAAGAACCAAGTTTTAATTGTTCAGATTGACTACCGTAATTTCCAGACTATTGAGCGCACCTGAATATAAGCCGCACCCCCTAAATTTAAAACAAAAAACAGTTTGTACATAGCTGCAGGTGTCCACGTTGTAACATGAGATATTTCGACAGCCAGATCGATCACCTTTAACTTGAAAGCTGCATCATATGCATTTCGCCGTGTGTTTTCCATGATGAGGGTGTGTGCATGAAGAGAAAAAAGTAGCAGCTTATAGTCTGGAAATTACGGTAAGCAGAATAACAGTTGTGAGGACCAATCATGCCTCACAGCTTCTTTAAGTACGACTTTGGTTTGTTAGTGAAAACCAGACATGTTAAAGTGTAATAGCTCATGTCTGATGTCACTAGTTGCGTTTACTGTCCACACACAAATCTCCATATCTTTCACAAAAGGCTTAAACATATACAGGCTTGTTACTATTATTATCTGACCTTCAGAGTGTTGGCAGTGGTGTGCAGACCCTGACGGTCTGCTGGAGGAGCTCCCAAGCCTTTGACATGGTCCCTCAGCCAGTCCTGAGCTGCTTCATGCTGCTCCATCAGCTGGGTGCACTGTCTCTCTGTCAGGATGCCCTGCTCCAGGTTAGCCAGTGCATCCTGAAAATAACAGTAGTTACATTATCACATGCCAGGTAACACCACTGCTGGCCAAACCTTAGTTACTTTCTTCTTAAGCCAAAAAAAGATTTTAGTTTGCCAGGAGAAATTTTGGGACAGGGGAGAAAGAAAAAGAATATGTGGTGGTTGTACTAAATCGAGAAGCTGTATTATATAAACTACTGTGCATCTTGTCACCAGGGAGTGTTGAACTCACAGTTAACTCTTTCAGCAGAGCAGGAATAGACTCCTCTTTGGCTGCCCAGGAAGGTTCACTCCAGCCAGGGTCCTGTGTGATCTCAAACAGCTCTGCAGCCTGGAGGGGAACAATGTACTATAGTGAATATATTTAAGACGTTATGCAACTCAGCATATCAACATGTTCCTCATTTATTTTTAATCACATTCTTTCAGCTTTATTAAACTTCCACAAAAAACCCTGCAGAAAAAGTAATATGCCTCATCAAGTTTTGTTATGAAATGATTCAACATTAATAATCCTCCTACAACCTGCAGCTGAAATTTACTTTCCTGTACTTGGAGGTCTGTGAGGACGGGGGCCAGAGCTGTGCTTTGGTCCAGCAAGGAGCGGGCCTGTTCCACTGCCTGCCTTCGCTCTCCCAGGCCAGGCCAGGGGAAGACGCGAGGCAGGCTGGATGTCTGCTTCTGAAGCTCAAACAGTTGGGCCTCAGCCTGACCTCGCTCGTGCTGACAGGACACCAGGCGCTCCACAATGCCCTTCAACTGTCTGAACGTTAACAGTGGATCAGAGATGATGGTACATTAGAAGCCAGAATCATAATTTATGCAGAAACAGAGGAGAGTATTGCTTTCCTCTTACACGCAATCAGAAGCATATTAGGTCCCAAAGGAATCACAGACTGTGGACATAATACATGGAGGTCATGTCTGTGATATCATCTGTACATGTTTGAAAAGAGCTTTTAAAGGTTGGAACTGGTTTTATACTCATCACCAACACCTGTGAATAGGTAGGAAACCTAAACCAGCTTCTTCTACCTCTGTGTCTCCTCGGCGGCCTGCAGGAGCATCCTCCACTGCTGCTCAGTGTCTTTGACCTTCTGCTTAACCTCCAGCTTCTTGTCCATCTCCAGATCCTTCTTGTTACCGAGACTCTGTGCTCGTCTCCTCAGCTCCATCACTCGGGCCTCACCATTTGACTTGGTACTCAAGATGGCCTACAGGCAAAACCAAAAGTTACATTTGTTACGTATAGTATGTGTATGTTAGAGACAAATGAGTTTTGTATTACTGTTTTACCTGTGCTGTCTTCAGCCTGTCCTCTAACTGAGCCTGGCTGCCCTGAGTACCCTTCCCTTTGGAGTCAGCCTGTTCCTGCAGCTCTTTAACCCAGGACTTAGTGCTCCCTGCCTGAGCACAGAAGGCTTCCAGCTCCCTGGAGAGTGAGTACTGGACCTCAGCTTTCTTCAGGGTGTTCTCAGCAGTCTGTAATACTGTCTTCCACTGCTCCTCTGAGTCTTTTACCATCTGCTGAGCCTCTCGTTTTGTGTCCTCCTCTAGGTCCTCCTGGTCAGACAAACTCTGGCTCAGTCTCCTCAGCTCTGTCAACTTGGAGTCTCCCACAGGCTTGCAGCTCAGGACAGTCTGATGATTTAAATAAATAAATCACTTCTTTGTTTGGTTATAGTTTTGAACAGACATGCTAACAGTAACTTTTGCATTAGCACAGATGTATATACTATTGCCATACTTTTTATTATTTAAACTGACCTGTGCAGTGTTAACTGTCTTTTCTGGATCTGCCTGACGATCCAGAGAAACCAGGCTCTGTTGCTTCTCTTCTAGCCAGGTCTTGGTGTTTTCTTTTAGGACTTCATAGTCCCTCAGCTGGCCCTCCAGAGCACATTGCCTCTTAGCTTGATCCCAGGCTTGTTTAGCATCTAGCATGACTCCTGTCCACTGCTCCTCAGTGCCTTTTATTTTTTGCTGAACCTCTTGTTTTTTGCATTCCTCAAGGTCCTGACCACACAAACTCTGGCCTCGTCTCCTGAGCTCCTGGAGCTTGGAGTCTCCTTCAGATTTGGAGCTCAAAATGTCCTGGGGACACGAAAAAACAATGTCATCTATCTAAAAAGCTTGACTTGTTTTACCTAACCGAAGGAGAAAAGATAACCTGTGAAATCCACAAGCTGATTAACCAACAGCCTGAAATGATCACCTAAGTAATTACAGCTAAAATGCAAACAGTTGTATAGTTCACCTGGCTTCTTAGCTCACCTGTGCTGCTTGCAGTCTGTCCTCAGCTTTGGTCTGGTTGCCCAGTGAGTCCAGTCGTTGTTGGAGGTCTACAAGCCAGCGCCCAGTGTCCTGCTGATGGGTATGAAATTCTCTCAGCTGAAAAGGAAAAAATACCCACAAAATAAGTCATGTAAAAATGTTTTCATTTTTATAAAATTATCCTGGAAAACTGTGTCAACACTATAATGTACTGTAACTATAATAAAAGGTAAAAACATTTACTCTGAGTTCTCTCACCTCCAGCTTTCTCCTCTCAGTTTCCTGCCCGATCTGAGCTTCAGCAGCAACCTCCACCTTCTGAGCAGCCTGCAGCAGTGTCTTCCACTGCTCCTCTGTGTCCCTGACTGTCTGCCGAACCTGGACCGTCCTGCCCTCCTCAGCATCCGGATGGTCACACAGACTCTGGCCTCGCCTCCTCAGGTTGTTCACCTTACAGTCACCTTCAGGTCTGGAGCTCAGGATGGCCTGCAATCAAAATATACAATTTTCATGAAATGCAACAACTGATTAATTCAAACACTCAACTTTGTCTTAGCTCTTTACTACTAATGGGAGCCAAGACATCAAAGCTTGTGAGGCTCAGCTCCACATTGTCAGCACTGACTTACCTTTTCTCACTTTTAGAAGTACTTTGTCAGGCTCTGCTAACATTTCATATTATTTCTGAGATTTATGACTTCCAAAACTTATAGCGTGGTTAAATTTTTGCCTCAACATAACTGTCCCACAAACTGGTGTTTCAATGTACTGGCATCAATTATCCCATCATGGATCTCTTGAGCTGATTCTAGTGCCCTCATGTTGTTAAAGACAAACCATCAAAATTCAGAAAGAACATTGCTGCGACACTACACTAGGTTCAAACTGACCTGAGCTATGATGCATCTTTCTCCAGGTGGTGTCTGACTGCCCACAGACTGCAGCTTCTGCTGTCTGTCTCTGATCCAGGACTGAGTGCTTTTACTCTGAGTATCGAAGTCGTCTGCAAGACTTCGGTGCTCCGCCAGTCTGGCAGTCTGCAGGACTGACCTCCACTGCTGCTCAGTGTTTTTTACCAGCTGTTGAACCTCTGGCTTCCTGCTCTCATCCAGATGCTCACACAGGCTCTCGCCCTGTCTCTTCAGGTCGAGTAGCTTGGACTGTCCATCGGGTGCGGAACTCAAAACAGCCTGAAAGTGGGAACCTTGAGGTCAGACATGGCCCTAGACATCACTTCAACTACAAACCCATCGCTAATAGATAGTTCAGCTAAACATGATGTAGGACATTTTGTACAAGTAGCAGTTCAGTGCTCTTAGCAGTGGTGAAACACAAAGCCCATGACAGTAAAAATGAGCTCTGGTCACAGAGAACAAACAAATGCAAACAAAATAAGGATCATGTACTGTGATGTGAATCCAAGTACGCATTTACCAGTTTTATTATTTTATCTAATCTGCTTCTTGAAAATACTCTGGGCAATATTACAACGGCACTAAATTGTATTTTCTGATAATATAAATTTTACAACCTGAGATATTTTTAAAAATCAAACCTGATTTGTAAACTCACCTGTGCAATCTGTAACCTTTCTGCAAACTGCACGTGACTACGAAGAGCCAACAGCTTTTCCTTCTGCTCTTTGATCCAAGACTGGATGCTTTCCCTTTGAGTTTTGAAAGCATCAAGGTCTCTTTCAGTGGTAGCTTCAGTCTCTGCCTTGTTGAGAGCTTCCTCGGCAGCTTGCAGGACTTTCCTCCACTGCTCCTCTGTCTGTCTAACTGTGTCCTGAATATCTCGCCTCCTGCTCTCATCCAGATCCAGGTTGTCACACATACACTGGCATCGTCGCTTCAGTTCCTGGAGCTTCGACTCTCCCTCAGGCTTTGAGGTCAGAGTAGCCTGAAGAAAACAAACAACTCTGTCATCATACTCAAAAAACAAGGCTTTACAAAATGTTCAGCAAAAGACAACCCACCACCACATGCAATTATAAACTCACTTGTATGATCTGCAGCTTTTCCTCAGCCTGCATGGTTCCACCACCAGACTGCAGGTTCAGCTCCTGGTCTCTGATCCAGGACTGTACATTTTCACTCTGGGTTTTGAAAGTGTGTAAATCCTCGTCTAACAGCGCTTGTGTTTCCGCCTGGTTGAGAGCCATCTCAGCTGTCTGCAGAGCTGTCGTCCACTGTTTCTCGGTTTCTCTGACCGACTGCTGAACATCTTGTTTCCTGCTCTCCTCCAGGTCCTCCTGTTCACACATACTCTGGCTCTGTCTTCTCAGCTTGTTCAGCTTAGAGTCCCCCTCTGTTTTCAAGCTTAGAATGGCCTGATAAACATAATCAGAAAAATGCTGAAAACTGGGAAACAGACTTTCCGTATTGTGTGTTAATGGGTTTAACCTCGATTCACTAACCTGTGCTTTGTGCTTCATCCCCTCTGTTTGGGTGACAGGTGAGGTCAGGGGTTGCAGAAGGTCAGCTATCCAGGTCCTGGTGCTCTCAGCCTGGGCGTTAAACTCCTCCTGCAGGGTGTTCTGTGCCTCCACCTGTTTCTGCAGTGTAGCCTTCAAATTTCGGTAGCGTTGTATTAAGTTATCACCGTCCTCCAGGAGGCTTTCACCTCTGACACCTCGTCTACGTACTGATGCTAGCAGCTCACTCAGGGTCTCAGCTCTACCACAGTCACACGAAAAGAGAGACATGAAGTATACAAGACAAGTGGAAGACACAAAAGAGTCAAACACAACGTAGATCAAGTTTCAGTGTTTATGCTCTATGGTTTGGCAGTTTAGCTTATTTTAAATATCACAGTAAGTAATTACTTTCTACAGTCCATCCATTATAATAGTGAGTATTTTTGTATTTATGTTTAATATGTTGTTGAATTTGTATTTTTATTCATAATTATCAGACATAATATTTTCATTTCCAGTGGAGTTTCCTACTGAAATCTTTTCGCATAATGTTCACATCTAATGTTCGTATCTCACAGTTTTTCACTCCCAAATATGAAAAAAACAGTTATCGGTCAGTCGGGTCCTGATAAATTCTGCTGGTAAGTAAAGTAGTCTACTGTTTACAAAAAGACAGGCTACTCCAAATCATATTCTAAAACTGCAAAAATATGCAACACCTTTAACGCTGTTGTAAAGAAGTGTCTGTGATATGTTCACTTTAAAACTTCATGAATCCTGAGGACAGTAAACAGGAACTGGGATATTTCTGGTTCTGGTTTTATAAATGCTGACAATCACCTTTCCTGATCCTGAAGATCTTTGAGAAGAAGCCTGGCTCTGCCTGACATCAGAGACTGTTTCTCTTTGGTCTGCAGCCACTCACTGAAGCGGTCATTCTCCTTTTGTAGACTAGAAAACAAAAATTCAAAAAAGACACAAGTCAAGAAATGTTAAGTTAGATTTGTCATGTCACTGCTTTTTTTGAGATTCTTCCTCGCAAAGGAAATACTGTGCTCGTACATAATCACACAGCAACAACGCTTTTAATGACTATTTGTATTCAAGAAAGCATTTACCAATTTAAGTCGCTGAGCAGTGACTCCATTTGTTTCTGCCTGTTGTGGCAGTGAGCTGTGAATGTTTCCAGCTCCACCTGCTGCTCCTTCAACCAGTTGGCGAGCTCAGAGAGCTGCTGCGAAGGAATCTCCTGGCTGCCTCGCTCCAGCTGATCCTTCAGCTGCTCCAGACGTCTCTCTGCATCCTTGGATTTTAGGAAACCCTGAGGGACATGAGAGAAACAGTGAGGACCCATCCATCCTAGGAAGTTAAGCTTATATCAGGACCACAGTGGAAACGAGCCTCACACATCTATCTCTGATCATTCATCAAACCAACAGTCAATCTACTCTAAGCGTCCATCACCCCAGAAATCCACTTACAGTCAGTCTTTGCAGAGATGTCTCCACATCAGCTCGGCTCTCGGGGTTCTCGAAACACTCATTAGCAAACAGCTGCACGTCCTGGAACCACTCCTCAAACGTCTGCCTTTCATCTAAAGAAAACAACAACTATTACCATAATATATTTTAAGATTTTCTTGGAATCTTTTTGCCCCCTAGTGATCAATAGAACACTTCATCTTTAAAGGTTAAATTTGTTTTTCTAAAATTTCCATGTGCACTTTGACTTTTGGCATCAATTACCCCATGAAAACAGTGATGTAAAAATAAATACATTCCGTACTTTGCACAGCTGACAACACAATGAAAGCGCATTCATCTTAGATGCGCAGCTTTGTTGCATGTCATCACCTCAGTGTCCTTTTCCACCATCTACAATGGGAAACACACCCAACACTAACCCTGGACAATTCTGAGCAGGCCTTTGTCCCTCTCCTCCCTCTTCAGGTGGATCATGTCTTTGGTGCGGGAGATGGCGTCCGTCAGCTTGCTGTAGTCAGCAGCCAGTGGCTCCAGCACCTGAGGACTGGCCACATGGGAAACCAAACCCACCTCCTTCATCACATCCTCAGCCTGATTCTCCTGAGTCTCCAGATCATCACATAGTTCCTGATGAGGATGAGCGATAAAACAGTAAAATGGCTGCTATTCTAGCAGCAGTAGAAATAAATCAACCTCAGCAGAGTGAAACTGGTTGGTTAGGACCTGAAAAAATGGAATTGAGTAAAGCTTGTTTAAAGAAAATCCACATTTTACTGTTCTGAATACTATTTTTTTATATTCCTCAGGGGGTAATATGGTGATATACAGTAACAACATACTGCACATCATGTGTGCAAAAGCACCAAAAATAACAACTGACCCTGTCATTATTGTCCTTATATCAGGTCAAAGGTGTTTTTACTAAATCAAATTAAACTGTGACAAACACACACGTCAAACAAAATTTTGAAAGTAGAGACGTGACTTTAGATAAACACCATAACAACATCAAACAAGTGTATACCTGTATCTGGGCTTCAACCTTTGGCCCAGATGCATCAATCTTACTGACAGAACTCTGGATGTTCTCTACAGCAAACTGGCACTCCGCTATCTTCTGGGCAAGGTGTTTCTTCACAACCATCAACTCCTCAAAGACGTCAGTGCAGTCTGTAAACAGCTCCTTCACCTGCCCTATCTTCTTCCTCAGCTGGGTTTCAACCACCTTTTTAAAGTCACCATAAAAAAGATACAGACAGTGTAAAAGAAACACACATTCAGCCTAGTAACCAGAGCACAGAACTAGCAGTGGATGTGGATATCAACTTAATAAGCTAAACTCATAAGACAGGGGGTGAGGGCAATGTTTCAACTCACCTGCAGTTCCAGTGGGGGATCTTGACTCTCCAGCATCTCCTGTATCTCTGCAGACTTCTGGTGAAAATGTTCAATATTCTCCTCAATAGTGTGGATCTCATCCTGGAAACAACAAAACACATAAAAACACAATATTAAACGTATACAGTAGATCAAATAACTGGAGCTACTGGATTTAAACATAAAGGAAGCTGGCATCTGCCTGTGAAGCACTACAGCAATCTTACCTTCATGGCAAGTACTTGTTGCTCGTTGTGGAACGGATGGCTCTTTGCAAACAGGGACAGTTTGGCTCTTGCCCAGTCATTCACCTCCTCTCCCAGCATCAACTGCTTCTCCCACCGCTCCAGCACCACCCGAAGGTTATCCACATATGCATCTGTCTTCTCAGTCACCTTCAAGAGCACCAAAAAACAGCATTGTTCTGTCAGGTTCAGTGAACAAATGTATCCCAGTCAGGGTTTCCAAGCTAGTCGAGGTTATCCATGTATGCATCTGTCTTCTCAGTAACCTTCAAGAGCACCAAAAAAACAGCATTGTTCTGTCAGGTTCAAAGGTTATCCACATATGCATCTGTCTTCTCAGTCACCTTCAAGAGCACCAAAAAACAGCATTGTTCTGTCAGGTTCAGTGAACAAATGTATCCCAGTCAGGGTTTCCAAGCTAGTCATGTTTTGATCCCAGTGGGTGGAGTCAAGCAAATTTGAATTTTGTTTATACATATTATAACTACTGTTCTTGTCTCATTTCTGGGGAAATGCATAATGCAAGGATGCTTACATCCAGCCAGTTGTCCATCAGTGTGTCAGCCTCTGCTTCATAGGGACTCTCACTGCACTCTGGGAACTTCTTCAGTTCGGACTGCAACTGTCTGCAAACAGCCCTCATCTCGTCCATGCGCTCCCTAAGGCCGCCTAGCTCCTCCTTAATATCATACACCTGGATAAATGTGCACATGTTTACATGAAGTACACCTGAACACACATGAGACCAATGTTCAGCCCTCTACTCGTTCATTACACTTACTATGTACAGTATATGCATGTAACACAACATAAAACTGTGTAAAATTCACTTCATCAATAAGTTATTATTGCGTGAGCCTGTCCAAACCACAGCACGACTTGCTTTCTGCAAATGAACAGGCCGAGTCAAAGCAGAAAAAGTCACGGTTGGATTCAGACAAACATTTAGACAGAGATGTTTGGCGACCTCACATTGGCTATACTTCTCTGCAGGTTGTCCTTGCCCATGTAGGAAGCCCGATCTCTGATGGCCTGCTCTGCTCGCTGTATGGTGTTGCTCAAGTGACCCCGACAGCTCTGAAACTTCTTCAGAAGCTCCAACAGAACAGTGCACTGCTCTGTCCTGCAAAAGGAGGAAAACAACAGAAGGCATTGGAAGTGATGTCTCACAGTATACACTGCTTTTGGCCGGCAGTAGGCATAACCAGCTGTCAGCATTCCTCTATCTTAACAAAATTAAGAATAGCTCATAAATATTCCACTAACAGCACTTTTTATGAAAGACATCTATGTCCATTAGAAGCTAGTTGGTTGAGGTCATATTTTGTTAGATGGCAATCTGTTTACAGTTGCAGTACGGTAAGGTAGCTCGGTTTTAGGTGACACAATTTAGCAGAATGGCAGGAGTCAGTTATTTCTAACCACTATATTTGTTCTGGATACTTGCACATGCGTCTGCTGCTTAACTTACTGTACCTGTCAGAAAACCCTTTCTGAATCTCTTTCCACTGAGTCTCCAACTCTTCCAGGAGGTCTTCGCCTCCGTCCTGTTTCTCTTGAAGGTCACGAATGTTCTGGAGCTCTGTGTGCTGGGCCTTCAACTGACCCTCCAAATCTGACAAGGCACGAAGCCTGGGAAAGAAGAAGAAGAAGATTACAATTAAGACATTACATACAAATATTAAGCTTTTTATTCTGTAGATAAATGTCTTTAGAATCTTCTTAGATATTTATTCTAATGAATAGGTTGTATCTACATGCAGTATACAAACTCTGGCTTGTGCTGCGATGGTCACACACATATACACTTGAATGAAAAGAATGTTATTAAAAATACAAACAGCAAAGGAAAAAAAAACCAACAGGGATTTTATTAAGCAAAAACTAAAATAAATCAATATAAAATGATTAGGAACACATTACAAACATATAGCAGACTCAAAAAAAAGTTGCCTGGAACAAAGACAGGTATCAGAATCAGAGTCAGCTTCACTGGCCAAGTATCTTGACCACACAATGAATTTGACTCTGGTACAGTGGCTCTTAGTGTGCAGGTACAATGTTCTTCTGTAAGGCAACGAGTAAACCAGATAAGACAGAGAACAGGAAAAGAAAAAGAATGTGCAAAAAAAGAAAGGACTGAGCCTTAGGAACATAAAATAAAAATGAAGTACTTATAAATATAAAATATATGTGTAAATATACACAGTTTAGATGGAGTTTTCAGATAGATATATACAAAGATATCACACACCTGTGTTGCACAGCAGGCATGGTGGGCTCCTTCAGGCCTTGCATCTCAATTATATCCTGCAGCTTCCTCAGCTCCGTCAGCAGCGTCCTCTTCCTAAGGCCCAGGGATTTGCTTTGGGTGTCTTTCTTGACGGCCTGCTGCTGGGCCTGCTGCTGGCCAGCCAGCCCACGGTCAGCCTCCCCAAGCCTCCTCAGCAGGGCACTCACCATGTCCAGGCAGGAGGCAGGAACACCATCCCGGGTAAGTGTCAGCCTTGCACCCTGCAGGAGCAGATCCAGCTCAGGAGCCTTTTCTTTCAGACTATCAATGCTCTGCCTGATCAGAGCTAGCTTAGAGTGGTCCTGCGGTACCACAGTGTCACTGCGGGGGGCGCCTTGAACTCCAGAGATGTCTTCATCCACAGCGCGCAGCGACATAAGGAATCTGTCAAGGGCGCTCGCTCTTCGGAACCTGCTGTGGGAGCTGATCCAGGCTGCTCCTGTGGGTCTCGACCTCACGGGACAGAGGGAAGCAGTCTCTGGGGTCCAGATCGCTGCATTCAGAGCCAAGTCGGGACAACTGGTCCAGCTCGCTCTGGATGTTGTCGTCCAGTTCCTGTCCCAAAGAAGACAAGACGTCAAAGGGTCACTGTGCTTATTTTTATGCCAAAGCTACAGGCACAATGTTTAGGTACATTCAGAGCGAACACAGCAAATCTTTTCTCACTTTTTGTGCACGTTGTTTCTGCAGCCTGTGTTTATCCTCTGCTGTCAATCAGCCCTTCTACCTTATGTCTCTGTACATTTATGAAGCAGTACTACTGTACAATGATGTAAAAGAGGTTTCTGGTGAACAGAACACGAAAACACGTGGTCTTGTTTAAAAGCAGCTCTCGATGAGCAATTTCGTGGAGCCTATAAATCACTGACAAATGCATATGTATGTTTGCATTCCAGTCATCCCAGTTGGTGACCTGTATGGGTTTCATTTTGTAAATATGGGGCAGACATGTATCTGTATACACTTCTAGTAAAACTGGCCCTTACAGCAACAGATTGACCAAACTAAACACAAAACAGAACACTCAGGTCAGACAGGACACCTTAATATCCTTCAGGATGTTGGTGTTGGTCAGAGTGAAGCCAGTGATGTCCTTGGGCTGTCTGAGGTAACGGCCCAGACGGTCGGTGAAGTCCACCATGTGGTTCTCGGTGGAGTCGATCTGTCTGAGGGCGGTGCCTAGAGAGCTGCCCCTCCTCTGAAGGTTGGACTGTTGGCTGCGCCACTGCTCCTGCAGCTCTGCCTTCTCTTGCTCCAGACCAGTGATCTTACTCAAATGAGAACACTGGGAGTACTGGTTTGCATATTCAGACCACAGAGTCTCTGTCTCCTGCCTCAAAAACTGTAAATACAGTACAAGAACAAAATGTCAGCTGTAGACAGTGAAACAATACTAGGTTTATACTTGAGTCTCCCTCTGTTTATGACACACAAACTTGTGTTGCACCTGTATTTCCTGCAGCCGTGTATGGAGGCCTTTAAGCGATACAGAGTCAGAGGGGATATCCATGATGCTCTGTTCATTCTTAGCCAGCTGGGCTTTCAGAGTCCTCTTACAATTCTCATATCTGGAGATGTTATAAATTAAAACAGACAGAATTAACAAGTTAAACCCTGGATATCCAAATGGATTTTTAATACACCTGTATGCTGTGTTAGCTTATCGTGGCCTACACTCTGCTAAGTCTACCTGTCTAAAGCCTCCTTTTTAGTGGTTTCTTCCTCTGCAGATGACTGTTTTTCAACCTCTCTCTTCTCCCCACTGACCGGCTTCACTGTCTCTTTTGGCACCTGAAAAAGAGCAATAGAACATGATCTGTTATTTCAGACTTCAGCTGCATTGTGACCAGTTATACATGAAACAGGTTTGCTGCAACAGGAAAATGATTTTAAGGGAGCTTTAATTACATTAATTCTGCATAGTACATGATTTCAACAAGACAGAGTCATACCTCAGCTGAGACCTGAGGTTTGTCATTTGGTTTTGTGGGCTCCTGTTGTGTGGTCACATCCTCACTGAAGGCAACAGGAATCCTGTGGAAAAGAAACAAGGACCACCATTTCTGTTTTATTATTATTTACATTTGAAATATCTGCCAATAGGATGATGAGATACTGTAATTCAACTTCTTCCCAGCGCTGTTCCAGGAATCAGTGACACATTAAATGACTGGTCAAGGTCTGAGTGCCACCGGCTGCTGTTTATTTCCCTCTCCCTAATATCCCACCTAGAATCTGGGAGTGGTGCATCTTGGTCTCTGCTGAACTGGTGCTGGATGGCAGCCAGCCTCTTCTCACATTCCCTCAGCTGAGTCTGGGCCAGGCGGTGAGCGTCCTCGGGGCTCAGGGTGGCACATAGCTCTTTCAAGGCCTCGAGGTGCTGCCCTGCCTGAGCAAAGCTGCCCCCCTCTGAGAAGCAAGCCTGGGGAACACCGACAGAGTGAGTATTCTGGTACAAGAACCACAGCCAGAGGATTAATACCAGCTTAATTCTAGTTAAACCCAGAACCCTGTTTAGTTTTACTTTCAGTTTTTTTTGGTGTTTTTGTTTTGTTTTATAGATTAATACAAGTATGCATGAACATAATTTGTACCTTGCTTAAAATGCTTATTAACATCTACTATTATCACATTGCATTTATTCATTTTTTCTTATGACATCTTGAGAGACATACTGCAACACAAGCCAACCCCCAGATGGCATCAGCCAACAGATGTACTGCACAGAAACACAAAAGAATGCTGTTTTAATCTTTCACTAAAAATGCAGTCTTATCTATACTGCATTGTTCATGCTGTACAACTGTTAAGAATTTCACATGAATTGGTTTTTGTTACTTTGTGTTTGTGTTTCCCTTTTCTGCCCCATAATCAAAATGCCAAATACTGTTGTGTGGTTCTGTAAACAACCAAAACAGCACTCTTTTACAGAGCAATCAGAACAAAGTCTTGCAGTTACCAAGTCCCATTGACAGTCTCCTTTGAGGCATTCAGAGAAGAAGAAGAAGGAAAAAGGTTTAGATAATCAAAGCAGATAAACTGTCTGCACACCCGTCCACTGAAGCCCAAGAGCTTAGTGCTATATATTTAGCTACCTGGGCTTGTTTTTCTAATGGGGAGCTTAAGTGCATCTCACACTGCAGTGCAGCTGTGTTAAAGTCTTTCCTTGTTACCTCAAACTGTAACTGTTGCAAAAAGCCTGAGATCTCAGCTCTCACAGCCTAGGAGAGGAAAGATGAATTCACAGAAACCAGAAGGGCATGTTCAAACACAGCAGTCAGTTAAAGTTGTTTTTATATCAATGCTTCATATGCATGCCAGTGAGCAATTTCCTGACTTTCATATCTTAAAAAAGCTGACCAAGGCAAATGTTGCAACAGTTTTAGTACATTTATGGTTTTAAAACATGTACAAACAATTATCTGACACATTCCATGATAAAGCCTCATGAAAACTAATTTGAGTCCTTGTCTATGAACAGCAAACAAAATCCTACACATTATTACAAAGCTCCACATGTAAGTGGGTTTGTGTCTCACCTCCCACTGTGCGCTGACAGACTGAGTGAAGAACTCCAAGTCTTTGAGCTGTGAGGGGGTACAAAAGGCCTCCATGCCCTTGGCTGCTCTCATGAACTCCTCCAGCAACTCTGGGTCCAAAGTCCTCAGAGTCCTCTGAAGGGAAAGGCATAAATACAAATGCAGACCAACCACTTGCAAACCAGCTGATTTCAGTTGCAAACTTCAGTTCAAAATTAAAGAGGCATATTTTGGTCTGGCATATTTCCCCTTTAAACGTTATTACAGCACCCAGTTTTTATCCATTCTAAACAAACCAACCACATGCCAAAACTATGAAATAAGCCTTGTCCTCATGTGTGCCACAGTCTTTTATTTCCAGCCAACCACTGAATGTTAAAGCAAATGTAATGCTGTTTAAACTGTGTCAAACTAGACTCATAACTGAGTGAAAAATTTGCAGATTTAAACATACTCATTTGTGCCACTGATAAATAAAGACATAAAGAACAGAATAATTAGCTTTACCTCTTTGACTGATTTTTGCTCAGGTGAAACGCGTTTGTCTCTGAAGACGCTGATGGCTTCCAGGATGTGTTCCTGCAGACAGTGCTTGGCCTCTTCAAAGCCATTTCTGGCCAAAGCCTGGGCCTTGGCATAAGCCTCTGTGTAGGCCTGGGGAGGTGCCTGATCCAGGGCCAGAGGTTTGATGCAAAAGTCTGGTGACTCAGCTTGGGACTGAGGCAGCACATTGACCTGAGAGAGAAGAACGGTTTGGGGCTGTTGAGATTTGGCTTGTGAAGGAGACTGGGTTTGAGGCTTTGACTTTGGAAGGGGTTGGGTCTGAGGTTTGGGATATGACACTGACTGGGCCATGGGTTGGCTTGGTGACTGAATTTTGGCTTGAGTCTGGGAATACGCCTCAGGTTGTGGTGCTGTTTGGGCCTGTGGCTTGACTTGAGGAGATTCAGTCTTGGGTTTGGTCAGAGACTGAGCCATAGGTTGTGGTAGCAACTGGGGCTCAGGTCTGGTTTCCAGCAGTGATTCAGCCTTGGGGTGGGTTGCTAACAGAACCTTAGCTTGTGTTGGTGGGTGAACCTCTGGTTGTGGTACTAATTGGGCAAGAGGTTTGGGCTCAGCTAGTGACTGAATCTTTTGTTGCTGCTGGAGCTGGGCCTGATGTTTGGGTTGTGATGGGGACTGCTGAGTCTGGCTGGGAGTTTGAAGCTGAGGATGGGCTTGGTGTGGCGGATGTGACTGGAAAGGTGTCTGAGTTTGCATTTGAGGCCGAGGGTAATGCTGAGTTTGGGGCTGTTGCTGAACCTGTGGAATGTGCTGTGGCTGAGGCTGGGGATAAGGCTGGGGCACGAGTTGTGGTGGCCCCTGAACCCAAGTTTGTTGGCCTTGTTGTGTCTGAATATGAGCCATGTTATAAGCTCCCATCTGTGGCTGTTGTTGCATGGGACTCTGGGGTTTCATTTGGGGTTGTGTCTGTGGCTGCATTTGAGGCTGAGTATATGACGGTCCCATGTGAGAATACCCAGGGGGCCCTATCTGAGGTCCTAGCTGAGGCCTAGCTTGTGTCCACTGTGGAAGAACCTGAACTGTTGGATACAACTTTGGAGCTTGGCCTATCTGTGGAGGATATGGTTGGGGAGTGGGATGTCTCTGCTGGGGAAGGGCTTGGTTTTGTGGCTCTTGTTTGGGTGTCCACTGCTGGGGTGGAGACTGAGCCTGGGAGTAACCCTGTGGGTAAAGCTGAGGTTGTGCTATAGCCTGTGGATGCTGGATAGACATTGGGGATGAGGCTCTGACTTGAGTCCAGGCCTGCAGCTGGCTCTGGGAAATATGGGCTGGGTGCTGGACCTGTGACGGGGCATGTGTAGGATACTGACTCACAGCCTGAGAAACACCCTGAGGCTGGACAACATACTGAGCTTGGGTTTGATGTGGAGGTTGTGGCTCCTTTGGCGGGGCTTTGGGCTTATCTTGGGTTTGGACCACTGACTGGGCATGGATTTGGGGATGGGCCATGGACTGAGGATGGGTTTGAGCCTGGGTCTTTGACTGAGGATGAATTTGGGACTGGAACTTTGGCTGAGGATGGGTTTGAAAACGGGCCATTGACTGAGCATGGGTTTGATGATCCGTGACAACTTCAGCGTGGGTTTGAGCCTTGGGTATCGAATGTCCATGGGTTTGATGCTGGGCCTGTGCAGGTGGTTTAGGGGAGGGGGTCATGGCTGGGGACCATGACTGTGGATGACCGTGAATTTGAATGTGAGATGGCACAGGTGGCTGAATTTGACCCTGCAATGGAGTCTGCATAGGGGAAGAACTTGACTTGACTTGAGCCCATGTCTGCACTTGAGCTACAGCTGGATCATGGGCTAGACCCTGGAGCTGACCCTGTGGCTGCACAGCTGGCTGAGGTTCAGCTGGGACGCCTGCCTGGGATGGAGCCTGACCCTGATGCTGGAGCTGTATTTGTGCACGTGGCTGCTTCAGTGACTGTGCCTTAACAGGGCCATGAGGCTGTGGGACATCTCGAGCCTGTGGCTGACCTTGGCTTGCTCTGGTTTGTGACTTGGTCTTCAGTGGCTGCTGGCTGTCTGTGGTAAGGCTGGACTCACTTGTGGATTGCGCTTGGGACACTGTTTTAGATCTAGACTGAACCACAGAGTGGGGTTGGGACTGATTCAGGGGTGTTGTTTGTGGGTGAGGCTGAACCATACTTACAGTTTGGGATTTAGCCTTGGTGTCTGAATCTGGTTGTGCCTGGCTTATGATAGGCTGCGTTGGCTGTGGTTGCTTTTGTTGTTCCAGTTGCTGTTGCTGCAGCTTGTACTGCTTTCCCTGTTGCAGTATTTGTTGCTGCTGCTGTTGAAGCTGCTCTTGGTGCTGATCTAAATTTTGAGGTTGCTGTGTTTGCTTTTGTTGCTCTTTTCGCTGTAGATGCGGCTGGCTAGTAGCCTTGGTGTGTCGCTCAGGCTGAGGCTGATGTACAGCCTTGGCTGAAGCTATTTCTCTGTCTGACTTTGGCTGTGTCTGTGTAGCCTGAGTTGGGACCTGAGTGGAATCTTGTTCTGAAGCAGGAGTTTTATGCTCTTCTGAGGCTGGTTTCTGAAGCCAGGGCCGATTCTTCGCAGCCCGAGCTTTTTTGCTGTGAAGCTCCTGGGAGCTGAAAGGTGGTTTATTCACATCTTGGTGTTGAGGTGAAGTCTCTTCTTGGGGTTCTGGTGCCTGTTTGGCTTGTGTTTCAACCTGTATGTCAGTGACCACATGGTGCCGAAGTTGAAACTGATGCATATCTTCCTGCTGCAGCTGCTCCACCTGTTCTTGTGCCTGCTTCTCTTGCTGCTGTTGTGGTTGTGTTGGCATCAGCTCCTGACGTTGCACTGTTTCTTGTGGATGCTGCTTGAGTTCTTGCTTTTGTGGTTCTTTCTCCATCTGCTTGTTAAGTTGCTCCTGCTGTGGCTGGGGGTACTTTCTTGGTATGTTGTTGTTTTTGTGCAGCAGTCTCCAGCCTGGCTTGAACGTGGCCTTCTGGCTGTGACTTTGGCCTGGTCTGCATCACGGCTTGTGCGTAGGTATAAGGCATTGGGGGGGAAGCAATCTTTTTTGCTCTGTATTCCTGCATCCCTGGCTTTGGCACAAAGATTTCATGATGCTGAAGAGCAACTAACTTTGTCTCACGCTGCTGCGCTGGCTGCCTAGTGTCTGATGGTTTCACATGCTTCTCTTTAGCCTGGATGAAAACTTTAGATGGGGGAGGTCCTTCTGGGGGGCTTCTGCTTCTTTCTCTTCTGGCTCCCAGGCTGCTCAGCATACCTACAGCCTCCTGGAATTGAAGTATCATCCATTAGAAATACTGACAGTGATTATATGACATTAATACCTGCTGTGTTTCTCAATGTCTAAAAGGCAACTGACCTGTGATTGTGCAACAACCGCTCGCACTCTGTCGTGCATGGAGGAGGCGTGGAGGTACTGGAGTGGAGAGCTTTTCTGCCTGGTCATCACCAGCACCTGCAGGTCCTGCTCCTCTGTCACCACCTGGCCCTCCAGCTGTAGACCACGAGAAATCAGGACCTGTGGGAATAAATTGTACTGAACAAGTGTAGGTGTTTCCTCAAATGCACATACAGTAAGGGTTTCTATGTGAAAGGACATAAAGCAGAACAACCTTTCTACTGTGTGGATCATCTTACCCTGGCTCGTGGGTCTTGGCCCTGCTGTGGCTGTTGTCGCTCTGCGGTCCTCAGCAGCTGGTAGAGCTCCCTGGTATCCGCCTCCCAGTGCAGGAGTTCAGCCAGGCGACTGTCCAGACCAGACACACTGTGCTGCAGCTCAACACACACCTGCTCTGCCTCAGATAGGGTCTGCATCACCTGGTGACATTAGGGAAAAGGATGATAATGAACCGAGAAGCTTACAGAACATAGTGTGCATTCAAAATTGTAGCTGCAAGCGGTCAGTTAAGGGGTTCTTCCATTAAGGAACCCACCAAACCGTGTGGCGCAGAGTAACGCTCGTTATGGGTTCTGCATTTGTTTCCACTACAGTGCGCCTGTTTTGGAGGTGCATTCTGGGAGCTAAATTTCAGAACGCCTCAGGAGCTAGTACTAAAGTCAAGCACCAGGAATGTGAGGGGGTGCGTGTGTGCAGAGCAGTGGCCAGTGATTAGTTAAATGTCTGTTTTCACACCTCAAGCATTAGCATTACAAGCACTGTGTGTAAACACACAGCTAACTCAGTGTGTGAGAGGGGAGCAGCCCCTCCCTCCTCTAAACAGAGACCGACAGAGAGAAAATACAGTGGAAAAACAAAGCAGGACGGTTGGCATCAGCCCTGGAGGCTACGCTCAGTGATGGATAAAGGAAGTACGGGGTGTACCGCTCTTTAGGTTCCAACAGTGGAAACGCGGCATTACTGACAAACTGTGAAAAAAGCACAACAAAGACTTGTATGATTCTGATCACAGTTGTAAGAAAAGAAAAAATACTATTCATACTTCAGGCATAGCGAGCTTCATTTTCTGTAAGTGATCTGCTGGGCATTCTGGGGAGAGAGCCAGAGCATCCAAATCCACATCTTTTATCTTCTTCATTATGAACTGAACAGAAGAAATACATTTAGTCATTCAAAGTAAAATAATTATCACAGTGTGTGAAATGAACAATTACTTAATGACCCCATTAGTCACACCTGTAGTCTTTTTCTGTAGGTGCGCAAAGGAGCTGCCATGACATCCAGAGGCTCTTTGAGAATGAGAGTGGCTTGTCTGATCAGAGCCTGGGGGTCCTGGAGTCTGGCCTGAACATCAGCACTGGGCTCAGCCACAGTGTCCTAAAAAGGCACAAGATTGTAAATAACAGAGGTTAATAATTAACTCAAGCATTTTAATGAGACTTGTTTCTTGTGCATTGAACATGATACAACAATCTGACGGAGTCTTTTTACATTATGCAACCAATATGTAACTTGAGATATCGGTGAAGCCACCTGAAAATGCACTGTTTTCAAAGAATATTCACTGCAGAGTTGGAGAACAAGCTTCAAACTTTGCAGCCACTCCTTAATAATCCAGTGTGGGGTTATTTATAATGAGATAATTGTAGCTTCTGTTCCAAATGGCTGAGACAATAAGATACCAACATCTCTGTGGCCACCACTCACTTCACAGGAAATAAACCCCAAAGAAACTAGGCCAACCTGAAAACAAGACAGCCCTGTAAAAAGTTAAATACTTTGAAAATCAAGTGCATGCTTCAGTCATTAATTAGGCAAAAATGCCAAATCTTCACTGTTGCAGCAGTTCAATGCAGTGATGTGGCAGCAAAACAAACATCCCAGATGACACAGGACTGGGATTACTTTTTCTCACTGATCAGGTTTTCCTTGTTCTGTAACTTACAAACGTGTTTCTCTTGACAAACTCGGTCCACTGCATGTTAAGTTTGCGCAGCTCCTCTGCCAGGCTCCTGCTGGTCTGAGGTTCTGTTGATTCAATCAGCAAGTTCCCCACTTCGTTTAGGTGGAACTGTCGGGCGCCCCATTCAGCCATAGACTCTGATGTCACCTTAAGAAAAACATGAATACAGCAATCAACATCGTTCTGAAAGAGACACATCTCTTTACTACATTTGTACTGAATACAGAATTCAATTTAAGGCCATACTTACACCCTTGTGCAAATTAATTGAAACAAACTGCAATTTCTCATCTTTTCATGGATAGTCATGAATTTATACAGGAAAAAGTTATACATTTACATTTTTTTTGTTCCCTTTTCCCAAGGAGATGTTATTTAATCATTTTCTGATGCAATCGGTAGATGATGTAAAATATACCCTATACTATATCGTCTGTGATTGCATTATAGTTCATATAAACAGGCTCCGTTTCTCCAAAGCGCAAAGGTAAATGTGGTCAAAAGAGGAAAACCACACCAAGAGATGATGCTTACTTGATACGGGAAAGTGCGCAAGACCCTAGAAAAACAAGTGATGTCTTAAAAGTTGATTTAAAGGAGAAAGGAATAGAAGTAAGTTCATCCACTGTTTGCAGGCGTCTCTTGGAGGTAGGCCGGAAAGGGCCTAAAATATATCAGGGATATGTTTGCTGAAGGTAGGTTTGCTGTAGGTGTCTCAGATCTGCTAATGGTGCCATCATGCTGCCTGCTGCTGTAACGAGCTAAACTGTATTTAAAAATACCTCTAGTCTGTGGCCATGGCTGAGTGTTGCAGAGCCCTGCTCCAGCCAAGCCTGCAGGGAGCTGAGGCAGTCGCTGTACGAGTCCCAGGCAGACAGGACTTGTCCCATAGTGCTTTTGGCTTTGGTCACCTCCTCCAAAACAGCAGCAGTGTCCTCCTCCAGCTGCTTCACCTGCTGACTGACACGGTGGTAATCTGCAGCTGAGCAGCAAAGACAACCAGCAGTCAAATACACAGTTAGTCTAAACAAGAATCCATGAATCAGCAGGGAAGGTTTCAATCAAACTCCAAGCAATAAGACAGGTGTGAATGCCTCATAGATCTGTTCATTCAAATTCCAGGTCAAACTTCTACATAGTAATGTCTGTACTCAGTTAGATACAGATGAAGAAATGTTATATACAGTCACAGAACACTTACCAAGGGCAGATTTACTTGAGTATTTCTCAGAAATTTGCTTCAGCTTATGAAGAGCTGCTTCCAGCAAAGAAGGAAGTGCCCGTATGGTGACCAGCTCCTGTGCAAAAACAAAAAACTTTGATATTTTTGAATAGAAAGGTGCAAAACTGAGAGATGAACTTTGATATCTTTAGACCTTTACCACTAGTGAGGCAAAACATGTAGTTTGTTTAGAAGTGCGTCCAGAGAGCTGTACCAAGTTACCAAATCTGAAGTTTTTGCCCTATTTATAGTGGCCAGTTTAGGACACCTGAAAGGTCCATTGTCATATGGTTAGCACACTACATGCTAATGTTAATGTTAAAGGTATTATATTTAGCACCACCATTAGCATTACCCTTGTGTACTGTAGATAGTCATGCATGAACCTGTCCAAACCCCAGGAGCATCAGCAACTGCTATGGTAGATGCTAATGGGGAGTCGTTATGATAAACAAAAAGCTATGTTACATGTTAACATTAATGCTGGTAGGTTACTTCCAACATTTAATTTAGCATATTTAGCCTTAACATGTTACCATGATTTTGTATCAACAAAGTAATATCACCCAAAATCTAACTTATAAAGTGTGCACAGAACCAACATGCAATTTCATTCAACCTTTTCCTAATTATTAAGGAGCTCATGGCATGCCTTTCTGTGTTTTCTGACTTATCTACAATGTTACAGCAGTGAATTATCATCCTAAACATGACTGAAAGCGGATTAACAACCCATGATGTTATTGTCGGGGCTACACTACTTGTTGGAATTAATTTCACTACTTTGGGACTGTATGCGGTCGTGTGGGAGAAGACGCAGCGACCACCGGTTGGATTTGCTGACCTTGGAGCTACTTGACAGGGAGTGATGTTTCCACGACTCGGTGGGACTCAACGGTAAGTAAAAAAAAAACAAAAACAAAAAAAGGCACACATTGCATGTCTGCTAATGCCTCGTTTCTGTCATTTCTGTCCACTTTCATATTCTAACTCAAACATGTCAGGTAGGATTTGAGGTATTGTCATTGTCAAAAACGTAGCTTATTTGTCAGTGTGTTTTGTTTATGCATTGTCATAGCTTCCTGACCGGCAGCAGGAGTTGTGAGCATTCCTGAACTATCCTCTTGTTTTTAGGACGAGGCTCTTGGGTTTTAGCATTCTGAAATAATTATGGACTATTTGGGATTACAATGGGTGCAAAGTTAATCTAGAGGTAGCCAAGATTAAAAATTAAATGGCTAGAAATGAGCAAAACGAGCATGCCATGGGCTCTTTAAGCTGTTTTGAAGATGCCAAGTGTGAACCAAGGACCACTAACATGCCACTCTTGCAGCAACACCCTGACAGCCTCCGGGGAGATGTAAGGTCTCTTCCAGACCCGCAGCTTGGTCCTCATCTGCCCCAACAGCTCTAAAACTGTGTGGCGATGCTCCTGGTACTCCAGCTTGATCCCATGGTACTTTGCAGTTACTCTCACACCCGTGAACCTGGTACCATGAAAAAGGTTAAACTTGAGTATTTAGGCTTACACATTCCATGAAAAAAAGAGAGAAAAAGGGAAACAGAGACAGGGAAGTGAAAAACAAAAAACATTTAATCTCAAAATTTAAAAAGAAAAAAAGTGACAGTTCCCTGATGGAGAACTTCAAACTGTGTGTTGTCCAAGAACTTGTTTCTTTGCTTAAACAGTGCTTTTGATTATTCAGTTCTAGCTCAGGACATGTTTAGTAGCATAGACATATACACACATAAACCACATGAACACAATCCATCCTGGAA